TTGCTCTTCAGTACTCTGGAGAGTTTTCTGACAGGAGACTTTCCCAATGCAATTCGTCTTCTGATTTGCTGACTGCTGGTACCAAGAGTGTTGACTGTGGAGCTAAGCAAACTAAAGTTGTTAATAATATCATAATGCTGCCATCGGCCCAGTGGTGAGAATCTTTTGTTTTCTTGTTATTGAGCTTCAATCCATGTTGAAGGCTGCAGTCCTTGACCTTCTGCAGCAAGCACTTCAGGTCCTCCTTAGTTTCAGCAAGAAGGGTTGTGTCATCTGCATAACGCAGGTTGCTGATGAGTCGTCCTCCAATCCTGATGCCACATTCCACCTCATAGAGTCCAGCCTCTCAGGTGATCTGTTCTGCATATAGATTGAAAAGTTATGGAGATAGGATAAATCCCTGGAATGCACCCTTCCCGATTTTGAACCATGCAGTGTTTACTTGCTCTGTTCAGACTACTGCCTCCTGGTTCAAGTGTAGGCTTTACATAAGCACAATCAAGTGTTCTGGGATTTCCATTCTAAGAGTGAGCCACAATTTGTTGTGGTCCACACCACAGTCAAATGTCTTTGCATAGTAAATGAAACACAGGTAGACATTCCTCTGGTACTACCTGCTTTCAGCCAAGATCCATCTAACATTAGCTATAATGTCCATCTAACATTAGCTATAATGTCCCTAGTACCACACACTCTTCTAAACCCAGCCTGTACATCTGGCAGTTCTCTGTTGACCTGCTGTTCCAGTTGTTTTGGGATAATTTTCAGCAGAATCTTGTTTGCATGTGACATTAGTGATATTGTTTGATAATTTCCACACTCTGTTGGGTCACTTTTCTTTGGAATGGGAACAAATATACATCTCTTTGAGTCAGTTGGGTGTTGGCCAAGTGGGTGTCCTCCAGATTTCTTTGTTTACACTGTCTTAAACTGTTTAAGTTATAATGTTGTTGTTGACCCATATTGAGCCTATGAACAAGAGTGTTGATTGTGAAGCCAAGCACACTGAAGCTATTAACAATCTCAATCTCTTCACCGTCTGTTGATGCTGCCAATCAGCCCAGGGTGAGACTCTCTGTTTCTTAATGTTGAGCTTCAATCCATATTCACGCTGCAGTAAATTTTTTAAATGTATCTTTTTATTTTTTCACGCAATCACTCATAGACATTTTGTTTTCTAACACTAATTACAATTCATAATGTTTTTTTTGTTTTGTTTTGTTTTGTTTTGCATAAAATAGCTTTTATTCTGAATTATAAATTCATAATGTTTTGAAAGGTAGTAAAGATAATGTGCCGACCTTATTCCTGAGGGAAGACTGCCTAGGCTAATCTTGTTGTTAGGTGAACTGACCGAAGCCCTGCCTGCTCCCGTGCCGTCCACACTGTCCCTGCTGCACTCAAGCCCACTGTTGCCATCACTGTGCCCATCTAATCTCAGTCTGTGACATTTCCAAGAACATTTTAATCATATTAAGTCCCCCAAACTCCTGTAGTTATTTTTTATTAAAATTGCATTGAATTACAGGTCATTTTCCAACTACAGACACAACTTATTTTTGTATGTTTTCCTTCTATCCAGCAACCTTGCTAAATTCTTTCACTATACACTCTTCTGGTTGTCTGTCCTTACGATCATCTCATCTGAGAACAGTAGTATCTTTATTTCTTTGCTGCAATTCTCTCAACTGTTAGTGGGTTTTGTGTTCCTTTTCTCATTACATGAACCAAGACTTCCAGTAAAATTCAACCAGACATTATAACATCAGACCTCTTTCTCTTCTTCCTGATAGTGAAGCAATGTTGAAGGCTGACCTCCATGCTATACGTTTTGTTTGTTTATACCTTTCTCCTACTAAGGGCCAATTCAACATCAAGCCCACTGCCATGGGGTCCATTTGACCACACCGACCGGCAGGACAGAGCAGAGCTGACCCTCATCTTTCTTCTCAGGTTCCAGACGCTGATCTTTGGTTCAGCGGCTCAACACTTAGTCCTCTGTGCCACCAGGGCTCCTTTCAGATGGAAGACACTCCCTTTATTTACTATTTTGCTGAAGGTTTTGTAAGATGAGTGAGAGTGGTGTGGGGGCGGCCACTGTGACCACCACCAATTCCACAAGGGAGGGCAGGCCCATCGACTACATCCACAGCACAAAGCCAACCCCAGGGGTCAGCCACGGTCCCCATGTGCCCACAACTGCTTCCCCTAACACCGAGCCAGGCCTGTCAGTGCTCTACTACAAGGTCCGAAATCCACTGCGAAGGGCACATCGATCTCACAGAACCAGACTCATGATTGCGGGGACGTCAGCAGCTTAGAACTCAGTCAGGAAAACTTCTGAAGCTTGCTCGCAGGCCCTTCAGACTTCAGCAGGTCATCTGAGGCTAGTGTACAGGCTCCCTTAGTCCTGCTGATCACAGCATCTCTCCCCAGTCCTCCAGCCAGCTCGGGCGAGGCCCCGGCTGTGGCTGCATGTTCTGGCCCACGTCAGGTCTGGTTCTGGGGCGGTGAGGCTCCGGCTCTGACTGTGTGTTCTGGCCCACGTCAGGTCTGGTTCTGGGGTGGCGAGGCCCCGGCTGTGGCTGCATGTTCTGGCCCACGTCAGGTCTGGTTCTGGGGCGGTGAGGCTCCGGCTCTGGCTGTGTCCTCTGGCCCTCAAGGGCTGGTTCTGCATAGTCTGCTTCTTCCTTTTTCACAGTTGCTGCTGTTAGGTGCCATCAAGCCAAGGACAGCCTAGTTACCTGTGAACAAAGCACTCCACCTGCATCAATTTCACTACCTCGGATATGCTCTAGCCCGTTCTGAAAGCCACTGTGTCAATGAGATTCCCAATTTCTGCTGCCGAACCTGTTTAATGTGTCCTGGCAGGACGGAGGAACTGGCCGGCCCTTCATGGACAGACTAACACAGCATCATCGTGGGTTCCTGTCCAGCTGTACCATGACGGCAGCCTCCCCCCACAACACAGGCCTGCGGTCTGTGACGGTAACGAACCTTACCAAACGTCTCTGCCATTTCTTCTGAAAGGATACGCTTTTTCATCTTTATTCTGTTAACATGGAAGATTACACTGATGCCTTTTCAAACGTTAAGAGAAGGCTGTGGCCTCCTTTTCCTGAGAGGCTGCACCCAGCTCCCTCCTGCCTGTGTGGACGCTGCCCCGCTCGGTGTGTGCTGGTGAACTCACCACCCTCCTCCTTGTCGATGGCTTTGCCAGATTTTAGATCCTAGGTCTGTTGGTCCCATCAACAGCCACGGGAAGTGAGCCTTTCAGATCCTCTTTTTGGAAGAGATGGTGTTTCTGCCCTAAATATTTGGCAGACATCATTTATTATTGATTAGATGTTTTGATGGTTATTAAACTATTCAGATTTTCTATCTCACCACTTTGCAGGCTCCTCTACGAAGTTATAGTTTTCAAGGAATTGACACCTTGCCAAGCTTTGAAAATGCATTAACATAAAGCTGTTAATATTTTCCTGTCATGTTTTCAACATCTGCAGCAATCTAGAGGGGTTCTTATCCTGGGTCGGGGGTGGTAAGCATCAAAACAAGAGATGTGGGCAGACAACTCCACCAGTTTCCCCCAGAAGGGGCTGGGCACCCAGCATGGCCACAGCAGTACCCAGAGAGTCAGGAAGGCCACCCCCAGGTCTCTGACCTCTGGTCAAGGTCTGTCCTGGACGAGCTGCAGCCAGAGTGGCCGCTGGAGGTGAGGATGGCAAGGCCACGTTGTCAGGAGGCGGTCCCCGGAGAAGAGCGCGTGCTCGGGACAGTGGAGGAAGGCCTCAAGCAGACGGACGGACACAGTGACCGCAGCCACGGGCTTGAGGGCGGCGGCGAGGGCAAGGATGGACAGGAGCGGGCAGGGCTTCCCTCTGCGACACACAGGACGTCGTGTGTCAGGACCAATTTGATGGCACATAACGAGGACGATGTCACTGCGTCGTTCTGACACTGCTGAGGGAGATGCGGACTAAAGCTTCCACCAGCAGACACTGAGCCACACAGCACCGAGGGCCAGGACGGGGCGGCCAACACCCTCACACTTTCCAGAACATTCTCTTCCTCACCCGCATGGACCACAGGGCAGATATCCACTGAAGCGATCTCATGACAGACCAGCCTGAGCAAACAGCTGTAAGACCACAGGGGGCAGGAGCCAGGCTGGACCGTGCTGGCCACCAAGGGGGGACAAGGGCCCTCAGACAGCGGCTGGACAGGAAGCAGGGACACTCACGCACAAAGCGTGACCACAGAGCTCTCTCCCGGGGTCTCCGGCTCAGGAGTTTCTCTGTGGATGAGGGGGGATGAAGCACTTCCCTCAAAGCATCCAGCACTGAGAGTAGTGCCTAGTGCAGAGCCATGGACCCCAAAGCTGCCATCGTGGCCACACACGCAGCTACAAACCACGACGGGCAGTGACCTGGTGTGAGCGAGCATCGCCGCTTCTCAGTGTACGTACCACCTGTGACCGCGGGCAGGGTCAGTGGGCACCCCGAGACCATTCAATCCGTTCAGGAATGTCCCCTGGCCCCACCTCCAGGGAGACAGCAGACGCCACTGGGTGAGCCCCACTGTGGACGTAAAGGTGCCGTCCCAGGGCCCTGGTGCCGGCCGAGAGGCCTGGGGGTTGACACACTTGGCCGCTCACTCACAGGTCAGCACTTTGAACCCAGTGGCTGCTCTGGGTACACAAGTTGAGTCCAACTGCTGGAGCTCACAGCCTGGGAGTCCCCCGGGGCAGGTCCACAGCCACTGACCCACTGACCCACAGGCCCCCAGGAGCCCCCTCCCCGGCAGGTCCACAGCCACTGATTCACAGGCCCCAGGGAGCAACCCCCCACCCCCGACACAGGTCCACAGCCACTGACCTACAGGGCCTCTGGGAGCCCACGTCTCTTTGGAGGCAGCGGGCTGGGTTTGGGGCTTCAGGTCCACCTGTTATGTACAAAGGTCCCATTTTAAGCCTTGGACACTAACAAGCAGTACCTTACCTCAAGGTCGTCCAGCGAGCGAGTAATACTGAACCGCTTGGACCTCCCGAAGGACCTCCGGACCGACGTCCGCTGAGCAGTCTGGGCGAGGCCAGTGCTGCAGGCGAGTTTGGAGGCCTAAACAGAGAGAGAAAGGCATCAGGTGACCAGGAAGCCACACTCGGTGCTGCCCAGTGGGTCACTCAGCAGATGACAAGAGTCCAACGAAAGGATGGGAGGAGACTAGAGTCCACATCACCCTGGTCTTCGGGCATCTGCTGTGTCATGTCTTGACTGGGTCACCAGACAAGGTGATGCCATGCGATCCAGCCAGGCGCCCAGTCGAGCTCGGACACGTTCCCTGTGCCCCTGGCTGGGGTGGGAGGTGTGTCCCAGCCAGGGCCTCCAGGACGCGCTCTGACGTGTCCCAGCCGTGCTCCGGGACAAGCTCTGAAGTGTCCAAGGCATCTCCCCGGCTGGGGTGACACATGCACCCCAGCGAGGCCTGAGGTCATGTGTCCCGGACGTGCCCCCAGACAAGCTCTACTGGCCTCGGTCTCCATGACTACAAACCACAAGTGGCACCGTCCTGCCTTGAAGGTCATGTCCAAGTGTCATCCAAGGCGCATCTATCCACCTCAGTGGGTCTTGAGCCAAGAGAAGTGTAAAATCAAAGGAGGGGTCTCCACTCAACCACTGAGCCCATGGACCGCAATGGCCACAGTCCGGAGGCCAGAAACACGACAGGGTGTCCCCAGCCTGAGACCAGGATGACACAGTGCCCGGCTGCTTGGCCATCTCCCCCTCCATGGCCCAAGACCAAGACAACACAGTGCTCATGAGACCAGGACGACACGGTGCCTGGCCGCACCGCTGACCACTCTGAACGAGGTCACACTGAAGATAAACGAGAACAGACCTCAGAAGCAGAGTGGCCAGGCTGACTCGCCGGCGGGGTCAGCGGCTCTTACCTGTCCTTTGTGCCCACAGCTACAGACAAAGGACCTCCAGGGACAAACTGGGTCCTTCGGACAAACCACACAGGACCGTCAGGGCACCGCTGACCGGGGCAGCAAGCCGGAGGGGAGAAGATGGGGGTTTGATGGACGTGAGACCTCCCAGGAGGGGATGGGGAGAGTGCCGACACGGCATAACCTGCGGCACTGTACAAACCCTTCACGAGTCGCTGAACGGGACGCCCATTGGATCTGCAAGTCTCACTGAACTCGCAGTGAAGAGCTAAATGCAGGCTGTCCCCAGAGCCCAGGGGAACTCTGTGTACACGCATGGACAGAGGGCACTGAGGGTGTGGGGCTCCATGGACCGGGCCTGACACCACCCCGTGTCCTCACGAGGTCCCTCAGAACCCCCATTACCTGCCACCTAACACACCAACCGCACAGGCAGCAGCCGGGTCGTCACCCCACAGACACCAAGGCCTGAGGGCAGGTCTCATCCCGGTCCCCTTGCTGTGCTGACCACTCTCCAGTGAGTCCATCCCATCCTCATACTGCCCACTGCCTACAGACCACATGGTCTGCTTCCAGCGGTCCGTCTGGTCCCTGCACTGACCACTGACAGTCCACTCTGGTGAGTCTGTCCATCCTACGCCGTCACTACCCACCTTCAGCGAGTCTGTGCCAAGAGGCCCGGGAACCGCCCTCAGCAGCGTGCGGGACACAGAGTGACCGGGGAGTTCACACGGATGACTTTCCAGGTAGTAGTCCACTGCTTAACCCCGTGCCACCAGGGCCCCAAAGGCAGCAGAAAGTGACCGCGTGGACAGGACCCCAAAGGGGAGTGCTCTGTGTGGCGGGGGCCGGGCGCGGACTTGCCGGGCAGAGTCAGAGGGTCACACTGCGCGCCCCCCAGCAGCTCTCTGATGACCCACAGCCTCCAAAGCCCACAGGACAGTCCGGGGAGAGCCAGTGTCTGATTCCCTCACAGGAGAAGGTGCACTGTCCACCCAGCACCCATGTCACCCAGGCGACGTGGCAGCAGGGCTGCTGTGTGCCGTCGAGTCAGAACCGACCCACCGCTGACCCTCCGGTGGGTTTTCAGAGGCTGTAAATCTCATGGGAGGAGGTGGCCCGTCCTTGGAGCAGCTGGTGGGTTCCAACCACATGCCTTTGGGTTGGCAACGCAGCTTCTCATGACTAGACCACAGTAGACCACGGTCAAGTCGACTCTGGTGCACAGGGACCCGTGTCCAGCGGCGCCACACCCCGCCCAGCCCAGCGCCCTCCTGCAAGTTCTGTGCCCACATCCACGGTGCCACAGCATTGAGGGTCTTCCGCTCTTCATCAAACATGACGTCCTCCTGACAACATGACAGCATCTGTCTCCTGTCTCTCAGGAGCACGGTGTCTGCACTTCCTCCCTCACATGCTCGTCCCTCCTCCTGGAGTCTGGGAGACACGAGATTTTCCGCCCATCTGGCAATCCACAGGCTCCAGGTCTTGTCTGGCCTTGACTCACCACCAGCTCTCTGATGGACGGAAGCAGGCAGAGATTCCGGGATGCGGACGAGGCACATCCCTGTCTGTACACTGGATCCCACACGCCCGGGCACTTGGAGAAGTCCTCGGCGGCAGATTTCCCAGCATGGCACATCATTTGCCTCCCTGACTGCTGCTGTCATGGCACTGTCCACGAGTCCCAGGAAGAAGAAATCTGGACTTTATAGTGGTATCACTGTCAGTCCAGCAGTGAAGAGAGATAAGTAACAGTACAGCCTGCCCAGCTGTGGGGTCCCACACACGCAGATGGGGAGCCTGGGATGCTCCTCCTTCACCTGAGAAGAGGAATACCACAGAGAACCATGCCCCCTCTTGGCAGACACCCCACAGAAGTGCGTTCATAGACACCTGAAGACACAGCACACAATAGCACCCATGGGATGTTTAAAATAGACACAATGCAGTATTATTCCAAGTTTAAATGGAGGCGTTCCAACTACGGACTCATTCCATCATGAACAAGCCTCTGTAAGGTGCAGGAGACTCAGGTGTGAGGCCACAGAAGCGGCAAGGTCACTGGAGCCTGAGACAGTCTATCAACTTTAATCACATAGACCTGGGCGAGCCGATTCTGCAGCGCATCCAGACTAAAATATAGGAGGAAAAAAGGCCTGGCGCTTGACTTCTGAAAGAACTCTATGGTCAATGAGAGTCCCAAGGCCAATTAGAAACAGAACCCTATGGCCAGTGAGAGCCCCATGGCCAATGAGAACCAGGAATAAGAACCCTATGGCCAATGAGAAGCAGCCAATGAGAACTAGCCAAGGAGAGGCCCTATTTGGAAGCAGGAGTGGAATCCACTTCCTAAACAACACGTCTCTGGAAACTCTATGAACTTTGAGAAACGATGATAAGTACAGAACAGGGTTCAGGGCTTTTGTTCATAGGGTCGCTAGGAGTCATGCTCGACTCCACAGCAATCGGCAACAACAACATAGCCAATGACAACCAGGAATGAGAACCCCATGGCCAATGACAGCCAATATTGAGATCCCCATGGCCAATGACAACCAGCCAATGAAAACCCCATGGCCAGTGACAACCAAGATTGAGATCCCCATGGCCAATGAGAAGGAGCTCTGGTGGTTTAGTGGTAAAAAGCTGTGCTGCAATCTCAGAGGCACATGGTTCAAATCCAATAGTCGCTCCGTGGAGAAGGCTGGGCAATCTTCCCTGCTCTTTAAACCCACTGGAGTCAGTCCCATGAGTCATTTCTGACTCAGGAGCAACAGTTCTTCCAGTGGGGACCCTGCAGACGACAGCGGCCCAGCCATGGCCCTGGCCGGCACAGGACCTGTCCAGCGCCCTGCTGTAAACACTTCACCACCACTTTAAAAGAAAAGCTGACACGTGACTCATCCCGGAGGATGAGTGTGGCAATGCCCCGTGCCCCGGGAGGATGGGGGCTGTCACACTGTCTCTCACGGGGCATCTAGCGCACACTGTCCCCTGTGGACAGACTGCCCTACACTCCGGCCAGCATGAGATGCCTGGTATCCCAGAGACGCCGACGCTGGAGATGTGCCATCTGGAGGTGTGCAGCCGAGTGACCAGAGCGGGGCTGGGCACAAAGCCAGCATGTGCAGGTGGAACAGGGCACCAAGAGACCCACCCACACAGGCTGAGGCCTGGGTGTAAGATGCGTATCACCAGACGCAGAGCAGCCTGGATGTGTGGGGGACACAAGGGGCAGAAGTCGGTGTCACGGGGTGCAGCCCATGGCATGAGAGGTGCCTGGGCCCCAAGGAGGCTGGCTCCCTACATCCTGCTCCCCGCCCTGCTCAGCTGTCCTGATTGGGACAGGCACAGAGAAACGGGTCGCTAGGGAGGCTGTGGCGATGCACACGCTGGGGACCAGGCAGTGGCGGCTGTGGCCTGGCTGCCCACGGGCCTCTTTAACTGACCGACACTGGGCGTCAGGGCCCTCCGTGTGCGGGCACTCGCGGGCCTTACCTTCTTGTCCTCTTTGGTCTTCCGCATGCTGCGATGAGGCCCAAAGATGTGCGGTACGCCGAAGGCCTTCCTGGACCACTCGCCCTTCTGGGTGGACAGCGGTGGCCGCGAGAAGCTGCCCTCCAGCCGGTAGCGGTCCGCGGGGATCTTGGTCATGGGTGGGGGCAGGGTGCTGCAGTTGACGCTGGACCAGCCGTCGGTGGAGTCTGTGTAGGAGTCCTGGTCACTGGCGTGTCCGCCCTGCCACTCACGTACCACGTGGACCGGGAGCCAGCGCTGCTGGAGGCCGCCCGCCCCCGGGGCGCCCCGCTTGGCCGGGGGCACAGAGCTGCGCAGAGCAGTCGGCGGGAGCTCCCCATGGGGGCCCGGGTGCTTGCTTGCCTCCCGGAATCTGTCCGTGTGTGGGGGGCCCTCGAAAGAGATGCACCCTTCCTGGTCGAAGCCAAAGGCACTGTTCCAGGGGGGCGCCCAGGGCTGGGGGGCCCTGCCGCCCGCACCTTCCCAGCCGGCGCTGCCCCCGGGGGCCTGCTTGCCGGACCCACCGCCCAGGTCCACCACCAGCACACGCGCGCCCTTGTCCTCAGGCGTGAAGTTGCCGATGCCGCTGTCGCTATTGCTGCTGGTGCTGGCGTTCTGCTGGGCGTCGACGTCGGCGTCGGGCAGGGCGCGGGCCCGCACGCCGTCCATCAGCTCGCCCATGTCCCGGTACAGGACCGACACGAACTGCAGCACGGGCAGCGAGGAGGCGGGGAACTCCAGGCAGCCATTGGTGTCCGGGTCTGCCGTGCACTCGAAGCCGAAGCGCCGGGCAATGCCCTGGTGGATCTTGTGGCTAAAGAGCTCCGGATCCACCATGAAGACGTGGCAGGAGGTGCGCAGGGCCCCGGCCTCATCCTGCACCAGGCCTGCGTCCTCGCTGGGCTGCATGGTGACCAGCCCGAAGAAGCGGCGGTCATCGGGGCACAGGGCGCTGAAGGCCAGCTTCTCGGCGGGGTAGGCGGCCAGCACACCGGCCTTGTCACTGCACAGCTGCACGCAGTCGTGCATGACCTTCATGGTGACCAGCGAGTGGATCTTCTGCTCGGCCCGCAGGCGCCGCATGCAGCCCCGGATGGCCTGCAGGCTGTCGTGTTCCAGGTTGCAGCCGGCCGCGGGCAGTTCGATGGAGCCCAGGTAGCCCACCACCATGGCCACGTTAAGGATGCTGGCGTCCAGGGCCCCGTCATCGGGGGGCTCCGGTCCCGGGCTGAAGACCGAGTCGTCGCTCAGCACCTTGGCCATCTCCTCCTTGGACAGCCCAGGGGGATCAGGGTGTCCGGGGTCCAGGTGCACAGCGGCCGGCTCCGACAGCGGCCTGCCCTTGGTCCTTGTGGGCTCCGGGGGGCTGGCACACAGCCCCGGGCTCTCAAAGATCATGTGGAAGATGCCCCCGGACTGCACCTCTGCCACCACCCGCTCAGCCCGGTTGATGCCCAGAGCCTTGGAGTCCAGCTTGGGCCGAGGCCAGCCCTTCCCGTCGGGGACGCCGGCCTCGTCTCCGCTGGAGCCCGACTCCACATGGCCCGCGCCCTCACCGACCACCATGTGCAGGACCCCGGCGCATTTCCCGATCAGCGTCACCACGTCCTCATGCGAGGCCTTCTTCACGTTGATCTCGTTGATGGCCAGGATCTGGTCCCCGGCTCGCAGGCCGACAAAGTCCGCGGGGCTGCCCCTGAGGACACCGCTGAGCACGCACGGCGCCTGGCCCGACAGTGTGAAGCCGTAGCCGGCGCGGCCGCGGGCCACCTCCACGCTCCGGGTGCGCCGCCGGCCCGGCTCCCCTGCTCGGTGCATCGTGCTGCGTGTCCGGAGCTGGGGACATGGTCAGACCCACCGGGGGGCCCATCGGGCCGGGGACGCGAGGCGGGACATGTCCTCCTGGAAGGCGGCCCTGAGGGAAGAGAAACAGTCGTTATTAGATGTCCTGCCGGTGCTGTCCTAGACACCATTTCTAAGCCTACAGGACTGTCCACCACTGACCCGCCACCAGAAGTGACCCAGGGTCACGTCCACACTCAGTGACCTCCACAGTGACCTCCTGCGGACTCCCGCGCCGGAGGCTGTGGGAGGACACTACTAATTTCTCCCCCAAGGGGCAGCTAAGGGGTCGGAACAGCTGACCCTTCAGTTAGCAACCCAAGGTGCATCTCACCGCACCACCAGGGCACGTGTCCACACATACGGACCTCGTGTCCCGAGGGCTGTCAGGGAGGACAGGGTGTCCAGGACTCCTTGGAGGCCAATGTGACAAACTTTGTCTCACGTCCTGCGGACACACTGCCAGGAGAGGTCATTCCTCACAGAGGGACATCACGCTTAGGAAGGTGGGGTCAGCCAGGGAGAGCGAAGCCCTCAGCAAGAGGACACAGCGACCGCAGCAGTGGGCTCAAGTGTGTCAGAGGTGGTGGGGCTGGCAAAGGACAGGGCAGGGCTCAGGCCTGCTGTCCACAGGTTCACTGGGAGTCATCCTCCACTCCCCGGTGCCTAACCACAGCGAGACCCCACGGGCGGCCAAGGAACAGACCAGTCGGTCCTAGAGGAGGTGTGGCCAGAGGGCTCCCCGAAGCCGAGGGGGGCTTCACTTCACGGAATTCGGACATGCTGTCAGGACATGTCCCTGGAGGACATCGTGCTTGGGACAGTAGAGGGTCAGGGAAGGAGGGGAGACCCTCCACAATGTGGCTGACAGTGACTGGGGGCGGGTCCAGCAGAAACCATGAGGCCAGTATGGGACTGGACGGGGCTTCGCCCTGCTGTGTGTGGGGTCATCAGCCCTGGAGGGCCGTGGATAACTCACCCCCATCCAAGAGCCACGCCAGCCGAGGGGCCCACGGATAACAGGGTGTAACACCCCCATCTTAAAACAAAGTCAACCAAGGGGCCCATGAATGACAGGGTGTAACACCCCCATCTTAAAACCGTCAACCGAGGGGCCCACGGATGACAACACTGACCCTCTATGTCTTAGTCTGGGGTTATGCTGGGCTCTGGGGTTTCCACTGGGGCTGGTCAGTGAGCACTTCAGCAGGTGCACTCCGGGACTCTGAGCTCCCTGAGGGAGGGTGCCAGTGGTGAGTTCAGTTATCAAGTAGTGGGGGGACCCCAAGACCCCAGGATCAGCATGCAAACAGCCTTCCAGTGAGGTGGTCAGGCCTGGGCGAGGCTCCACTCCAGGCCCTTGGTGACCACTTCCAGAGGACAGCACCAGGCAGACCCTGGACCCCACACGCTCCTCAGGGTGACCATCTGTAACAACTTCACTAGAGCTGTTGGAAGACACCCTTGGGCCCTGGGATGAGTTTTCAGTCGTCAAAGTGATTTATGCAGAGGTTTTTAAAGTGCAAGAGAAACCTAGACCATCAGCAAGTCCAGAAGGGCTCTGCTGGTGACGGAAGCACTGACATTTCCAACGTGTGTAAAGGACGCTTTATTTTTTGATATGTAGGGATGAAAAAAGCCAGCCTGCTTCTAAATTACATTATGTCATGTTCAAGTGGTGCCACGTTAGTAATGAGGCAACATCACGGCTGAGCATTTAACTGTCCAATAGCTTAGAGATACAGCTGGCCAGCTCGGCCAAGCAGCACTCTGGGGTCCTCTCCGTGAGTTTTGCTAAGGGAAGTGGGGTGCACGAGGGTCCCCGGGCCTGTCTGTGAGTGCTGGTGCCGTGTGATGGTGTGAAGGCTCCAGGGCGGGGCAAGGGCCCAGGCCAATGTCCCCGTAAGTGGAAGAAGAACGGTGATGACAGCAGAGGCTGGGGCCAGGAGGGGCCACCAGCCGAGGGAAGTGGGCGTCAGTGCTGTTGAGACAGCGGTGGTTCACGGAGCTCGAACTCACAACAGATGGAAACTCGGCGCCGTCCGGCACCAGCCTCACCGTCTCCACCACCCTCAAGCCCACTGTGGCGTCTCGTGACTGTCCACCTCGCTGAGGGTCTCCCCACCTTTCCAAGCATGGTGCCTTTCAGGGACTGGCCCCTCCGGATAGCAAGTCCTACATATGTGAGACAAAGTCCACCGTGACCTCTAAGGTGTCTTGGCTGTACTTTATCTGGACGACAGAAAAGGAGATGGATTCAGCCCTGGAACCTCCAGAAGGAAGCAGCCCTCTGACCCCTTGCTGACCACAGGGCCCGCACTCTGACCACTGGCGCTGTAAGAACGAGTCGTAAGCTGCCGAGGACTACTGGCCATCCCGTGGCCGTCCAGGACACACACATTTCTCCTGAAAGACATGCCGCCAGAGGCAAGGAGGCAGAGACTGCCTCACGTCCTGTGAGCATGTCAGGAGGGGCCAGTCCTGGGAGGACACCAAGCTGGGAAAGCCAGACGGTCAGCCTGGCAGAGCAGCCCCGCAGGAACCTGTACCGGCCTGGTGGCTGCACCAGCGGGCACACAGTGAGGTGACGAGGCAAGGTCTCGTGCTGACGGCCACGGCGTCACATGTCAGGGAGGACTCGCTGCCCTGTGGCTGTCACAGAGGCCACAGGGGGTGGACACAGTGAAGCCGAGGAGGCTGGTACTCCCAGCACTGCTCATTTCTCCCAACCTCACGAAACTGCCCCGCTGCGGCCACCACTTGTCTCTCCCTGTGTCACTGTCCCTCTCTGACAGGTCCCCACCTCACACAGGTCTGGCCCTTGCAGGAGGAATCACCTCCAGGAGGGGAGAGCACGGTGGCTCCCACAGGAGAGGGCCAGTAGAAAGTGCTCAGCACGGGGTCCCCCAACTACAGAAGAGATGCCACCACCCCTGTCTGTGACTGTCAGCCATCACTGCACCCCTCTGGTGCAGGACAGTGACCCCACACCATCCGCCTGTTAGCATGGCAGCCGGCACCCCTGCAGCGCCAGGGTCAGCTCCCTACCACACCAGGGGGAACCCCAGCCCCATGTCTAGTCACCACAACAGACCCAGACCCAGACCCTGCGGCCCTGTGCTCCCAAGTCCCCTCCACCTCTCCCACCTTCCACCCCTCACCCTGTCCCCACAGGTCACAGGAAACCCCCAGGTCCACCGTCTCCACCACATCCTCTGACCCAAGTTCCAAAGTGGCCCTCAAGGAAGGCTAGCGGATAAGGTGGCACATCGCTGCTCTCCACTCTCAATCAATATGCTCCCACCTTCATCCTTGACCTTGGCAGTAAGTGTCCTGCCATGTCCCTGTCCCAGACTCCACGGTCCACACCGCATCCTCTCCTCCACCTGCCACCCCCAGAGCCCGCTCCACCGTCCTAACTCCAGGTGACCATGGTTGACCCCTACAGTGACCACCTCTCAGAGCCCGCTTCACCATCCTAAATCCAGGTGACCACACCTGACCCCTATGGTGACCATCCCTCAGAGCCCGCTCCACTGTCCTCGCTCCAGGTGACCACACCTGAACCCTACAGTGACCACCCCCAGAGCCCACTCCACCGTCCTAACTCCAGGTGACCACAGCTGACCCCTACAGTGACCACCCCTCAGAGCCCGCTTCACCATCCTAAATCCAGGTGACCACACCTGACCCCTACGGTGACCACCCCTCAGCCCGCTCCACCGTCCTCACTACAGTGACCACAGCTGAACCCTACAGTGACCACCCCCAGAGCCCACTCCACCGTCCTAACTCTGGGTGACCACAGCTGACCCTACAGTGACCACACCTCCCAGCCTGCTCCACTGTCCTTGCTCCAGGTGACCACACCTGACCCCTACAGTGACCAGCCCTCAGAGCCTGCTCCACTGTCCTTGCTCCAGGTGACCACACCTGACCCCTACAGTGACCACTGCTGAGCACCTACATCCCTCCACCTATTCCCTGAACATCACCATGCGCCTACGTTATGTCCTTCAACCCACCTCTACAGTGACATCATTGAGCACCAGGTGTATACACTCCACCTCTACAGTGACATCATTGAGCACCTACTGTATACAAGCCATGCCTTCAGCGACATCACTCAACACCTACTATATGCACTCCACCCTTTCAGTGACATCTCCAGGAACCTTCTGTATACCCGCCACCTCCTCAGTGTTATCACTGAACCTCTGCTGTATACACTCCAGCAACATCACTGATCACCTACTGTATACACTCCACTCCTTCAATGACATCCCCAAGCACCTACTGTATACACTCCAACCCTTCAGTGACATCACTGAGCACATGCTGTATGCACCCCACCCTTTCAAATGACAGCTCTGAGTACTTACTGTATGCACTCTTCTTCTACAGTGACATCACAGAGCACCTACTGTATACACTCCACTCCTTCAATGACATCCCCAAGCACCTACTGTATACACTCCACTCCTTCAGTTACATCACGGAGCACCTGCTGTATGCACCCCACCCTTTCAATGACATCTCTGAGTACCTACTGTATGCACTCTACCTCTACAGTGACATCACAGAGCACCTACTGTATATACTCCACTCCTTAAGTTACATCACGGAGCACCTGCTGTATGCACTCCACCCTTTCAATGACATCTCTGAGTACCTACTGTATGCACTCTTCTTCTACAGTGACACCACAGAGCACCTACTGTATATACTCCACTCCTTAAGTTACATCACGGAGCACCTGTTGTATGCACTCCACCCTTTCAATGACATCTCTGAGTACCTACTGTATGCACTCTACCTCTACAGTGACATCACAGAGCACCTACTGTATACACTCCACTCTTTCAACAGCATGAACATCAGATCCTGCATGTGCTCACCTACATCCACACCCATTCTCCTCCTCCTCTCAGCAATGCCCACGCTGCCATGACCCTGACTCGATATGCCCTTTGCTG